AAATCATAAAAAGGAAGATCGATATCTGAAGAGAGCCAAGTTTCACAAACAGCAAATGCATCACAATCATTATTGTGAACTAAAAACTTAAAAGAATCTAATTTAGGAATGAGACTTCAACAATTCCACTGTAGAATAGTGATCAAATCCCCGACCTCGTTTGGAAAATTATCCATCGAAGGAAATGATTGCTGCAATGAGGGGCCACTTCAATGTCAATTGCTTCAAGAGGGTCTTCACAGAAGGAAGCATTGCCAGAACAATGCTTTTGAGAGGATCAGAAATATTGAGGTACTTGAGAATATCGTCCACAATTTTATCAAATGAGAACAACTCGGATGAAGAAGGGGCTTCTGTTCTTAAAAATGGGCCATCAGGGGTTTTTGATGTCCCCGGGAGAGATGGAAAGTTCTGGTTATAGTCAGTTCTGCGGAAACCAGGAGGAGTTGAAACTTCCTTTTTTCCATCACTCCTTGATTTGGGCAAGCTGATTTTGGGTTCCTTATCTGCAACTTTCCGCGAACGGATGCGTTTTCGTTTCCGTGCAGAACCTTCCGGAAAACTGAAAGAAACTCCCTCCTCAGCCAAGTCAGAGTCAGACTCGTCATCAGACAAAACAGCAAAGGGATTTTTGTCGTTGGTTGATGGTGTGGCTGTTTTTAGCATTGCTGCAAAAGACTGCCTGGAACGCTCCTTAAGAGAGCGTTCTAGTTTCTCCCCGCGTTGTTTGTACGCCGGGCACGATGAGACCCAAGTAACAATTCAAGCTGATCAGTAAGAACAGAAGCTGATTATTGGTTGATTTAAGGTGTACAAAGCTGATTAACATTAGGCTGAATACATAGTTGATTAGTAGTGCATGAAGCGAATTGTATCCCCATAATCCAACCTCAATAAGTTAGCTGATCTAAAGATTGAACAAGCCTTCTTTAAGCTTAACACAACTCCACAAATCAGCAATACGTTACACAAATTTTGATACCTTGATTTGTTTAATGTCGTCAGTATCTGTGTCACTCGTTGCATTTTCGGCATTTTAGTTCTTCTAAATTCACTGCCTACCTTTCTAATTACAAGCAGTGGCAGCAGTAGAGACTAGGAAGAGGAGATTTTAAGGAATAGCTCCAGGTAGATGTGGGCTGCGACGACGTTGGAATATTGCACTGAAGTTTCAGACCACATCCAATATTAATACTCAATTATGGTACTAAAATAGCATCCAAATTACCATCGAAATAAATCACGCGCTTGTGTCCACATTGTATTAACCGCACTTGAAAATAAGAGGAATGTTTTACTGGCACCAGTTGTTGTTTACAATTCTGCATTGCTGTATAATACTCTGCCGGTTGCTATTATTCAACTTAAATTTGACGTGCTTCAAGTCAATGATCATACCTTTTGCCACACATATGCTAAAGTGGTCCAGTAGGTGTGATTGATGCCTGTGAATTAGCGACTGCTGGTTCGAATCCCAAAATGCAAAGGTAATTTTTAGAGTGATACTAACAATATAAATATCTAAATCCTATTAGTCAGCAACAAAATAAAAGCATTTCCACATAAATGCATAATGCGGTCTTCCCTCATAATTTTTGAAATAAAATTAGAAGGCTGAACAAGGGTTCGAAAAGACTGTTATTTAATGGCTTAAAAAGCTTATAATGTATATTACTGTTAAGCTTTTGGCTGATTAAAATCACCAGATTTAGCTGTTTAAGAGCTGAACAAAGGTTAGCGTGGTCTATGTACAGCAATTATTCAATCTAAGGTTGAATTAAAATCGATTAATCAACACTTGTTAAGCATCAAGTTGTTACCTGGGAAGACCATGAGGAGTTCCCTTACAGTACACGCATTTTGGTGCAGTGACTGTGCAGGCGCCATCCTCGTGCTTCTCCCCGCATTTGGAACAGCGTGCCTTGCTGCCACAGTGAGAGGCCGTATGTCCCAACTGTTTGCAATTTTGGCAGTTCATGACCCGAGGAACAAACAAACGCACAGGTAGCCGAAGTTTTCCCAACTCGATGTAGTGAGGAAGGGCTGAACCAGAAAAGGTCACCCGAAACGAGTCTGTGGGGGTAAAGCTCTTTTTACCCTCGCTGAAAGATACTGAGTTCAGCTTCTGGACTTCCAGTATCTCAACCGTGGGAAGCAAGGGGTTCTTGAAACGGCCAACCGCTTGCTTCGCCAAGATCTCGGGGGTCAGACTCGCTTCGGTGACCACACCTTCGATCTCCACATTACGAGCTGGGATGTACACTCTATACTCTAGTGTAAAGAGCTGGGAGGCAGCAATCTCGTTAGCTTGTTTCAGGTTAGAGACGACAACGCGAAGTTTATTGTACCTCACCTTCGAGATTTCGGTCACGGCCGAGAACCGCTTCGTCAGATCATTAGTAATTTGCATTACATTCAAAGGTTTCTTTTTGGGCTGAAAGTAAACAACCCATGGGCCAGTCGAGTCTTCTGGGTAGGCTCGCGATCGGGGGCTTATCTGTCCCTGTCCATTACCAGACTGAGATGACGAAGCAGGGATGGCATCATCTGATTTCTGGGATGACAGACGTTTTCGACCCTTCTTGCTATCGCGTGGCAAAGTGGTGTCATCTTCCGACAAAACGTCCATTTCGTCTTCTGACAAAATGTCCATTTTGCCGTACTAGTGGGAGCGAAAAACGCTCTACCACTGCAACGATAATCAAAATTACTCGGACACAATACACGAGAAAAAAAAATACAAACACAGAAACACAAACTTAAAATTTAACTGATGGGAGAAAGGAAGAAACAAGAACAAAAACTTATCTGATAATCCTATACTACTACCACCGAGCGTTTACACAGCAGCAGCGGAGCGATGCGCAGCTTTGATGATCTTCGATCCGCGTGTGCGGGCGGTCTTCGTTGGTGTGTGCTTGTATGAAGCTCGGCACTCAGCTGAACACACGAGATGGATGAGCGGTTTGAATGTGGAGGCAGATGCTAACACTCGATGACGATGATCCGTGTGCACAGGTATGCGTGACCACGCACCGATGGTGCGCAAAATGGTTGGCGAATTGGCAATCGCAAAAACAATTTTCCTTCCGATGATGCCGAAAACACACTTTCTTCTCAGAAAAAAAAACTCACTTTTTGATAAATTTATCGGGAATTATGCCAGGAATCACTAAGCGAGAAAAAACTGATTATTTACGTCAGATAATAGCGAGAAAACTTCCAAATTAACGGAGCGCGAAACAAGTCGACCGTACTTCTTGCTAGGACGCAGTGAGATGGTTGTTGTTGTTGTTGTTGCCAAAATTGTTGTTGTTGTTGTTGTGGTTGTTGTTATTTTTGCTGTTGTTGTTGTTGTTGTGGTTGTTGTTGTTGTTGTGGTTGTTGTTGTGGTTGTTGTTATTGTTGTTTTTGTTGTTGTTGTTGAGCAAGTTTTGTTTCCTTCGCCTTCTAGCCTTTCCAGCTATTTTTTACTGTATCAAACGGCGTGATTTTCGGTCATCGTACTCGGTCCAGTCTGCCTTCCATACCTTCCTGGTACCAAGTAGACGCCACCCTGAGTCATCGTTGTTGTTATTTAATTCCACCTCCAAGCTGGGGCACGAGTCAGATGGCGATTGCAAAGGTGCAGCGCTCCGTGTTGAGGCTATATTTGCTGACAGTGACTTCAGCTCGTCAAGAATATCGAGTTCCAGCACAGAGTTAGAGCTCATGGTACAACTTGCCGCAATGTCGAGCGACAGCTGGTTCAGTTGATTTATTTCATTACTGATATTTCGGAGCTCGGTGGATATATCTGACGTCACAGTTCTCAATGACGTAGACACACTGTCTTTTGTTGCCATCATAGCTGTATCGAAAAGCGATGTAGTGTGATTTTTGAGGGCAACGACACTGCCAGCTAAGGTGCTGTTTCTGTTAATTGCAGACAGTTCATTTTTTATGCCTACCAGCAGTACCTCCAGGCCTTCGACAGCTTCGTGAACAATTCGAGGATTTTCTTGCTGCAGCGCGAAACGATGTGTCACTTCTGTGTTGGCATGCAGTTGCTCCGTTAGAAGTTTTTGTTGAGCCGCTAATTGATTAAATTCTAACTTTGCTTGCAGATGCTCTTGACACGAGTCGCAGCATGGTAGAAGATAAGAATTAAAATCCCCTACTTTTTTATTGTCCTTCCTGCGTAGTGAATTCCTCTGAACGGTCACTCCTACGCAGGCTGCATGAAATGTGCGTATGCAGCCAGTGCATTTCCACATCAGCGAATCAACGGAAGAGTCAAATGAACAAATTTCACAATTCATATTGAAATGAACGAAACCAACAGCTATCGCGCGAAATTACTACAGCGAGAACGAAACGTACGCAAAAAAATCATCATCATCATCATCATCATTTTCCACGTCTGTAGCCCCACATTTTGCAATTTTGAGGTGAATTAGACTGAGTGAAGTACATCGGCCGTGTATAAACTTTAAAGAGTTAGAGCAGAATGAGATCACAACCAAGTGAGCTTAAATTTTGGGATAGTTATCACGACCTGATTTAGAATCAATTGAGCAAATCGATAATTTTAACCACCCTAATATATATCATGGGAGCTGCTTGATCCAATAATACCCATTATTGTGCTAAGGAATAAGCACACGTATCAAACGATTATCGCGTTCACTCGCACATATGATCTACTGAATAAGTTATGTGCCAATAAGGTTAAAAGCATACATTTTATTTAGCACAAAGAGAAACAGCAGCTGTGTCACATTGATTGTACGCTTCCTCAAGGGCTTATGGTTTCAGCTGGTAACAAAAATAGCTTCTTCCTCTTTATAAGACGACGTAAAAGGATGTGGATTAAAGCCTGATTGGGAGTACATATATCCTACGTGTGTAAACTCAATGCTGTAGTCTAGCAGTGATAATATCGTTTGTCAGTACAGATACACGTATACATAGAAGCAACAGAGTGGGGTATAGAAATTGTACCCCCAAGCCGTACATACCTTTCCTCCGGTGTCGGTGATGGCGCTTTGCATATTTCCTGATCATCTTCCTTTTCGTTAAGCATGCTTCACCCCAAATGCTACGGGCGTGTGGTTAGATGGATATTGGAGCAGTACAATTTTCTTCGCCTTCAAACGGAGTTCACTACACAACCCTGTATACCGTTCAGAATGTGCAACACGATCTACCGATGGATGGTGAGGTCCTATCGAATTTCGAGCATTCCTCACCGCCGACGTCGACGACGACACTGGCAACGATGCAAAGGCATGCTTTAAATTGCGGATGAAACACTTTTCAAGGAGCAAACTTTCACTTTAACCTTTCGTCGTCGTAGTCAACTACGAAGATTGATGACACACTTCGACACAGGGTAATCTCACTTGCTTCTCGTGTCACTCGATGCTGTTGGCGATGATGTACGATAAAAACCAGCGTGTGACTGAACCCATCGCAGTTTGCTCATCGGGAGGTAACACGCGTTCTAGATGCTGAAAGCTTTTTCCGTTAACATATTTTTGGAACACTTGGTAGCATTTAGCTGTGATTTCAATGAGATTTAGCTCACCACCGATTGCCATTCATGAATAATTCAATCAACGGCACGTATGCAGCACAATCTATTCGGGCAGATTAAAGCGATTTCTCTCGATTATGCATGGGTTGTTATCCGATATTCAGCTCTTTCAGACTGGGTTCACCTAAAATGGAAACGAGAATTGAAAAACTGGATAAGTGCTATGCTTTCAATTTACAAACAAGTATACTTGATTAGAGCAATACGCCACTACGAGATTAATGCGTATATACAGTCTGTCTCTTGAGACATAGTTTTGCGTTGCACTTTAAAACTATTCTATTTATCGACCTATGCTGGAGTTGTGAGTTTAACGTGAGTCTCTCGTTATCGATAAGGTAACTATACACACATTAGATAACTGCATAATAACATTGCTTCGATTGCTTTTTCATGTAACTTGCAGTACGGTGTGCGCCGTGAAAACCTAGTCAGAGCCATAATAGTACTTCGATAAGATCAACATTGCACATTACACACAGAGCAAACAGAAGCTTTGCTATCACGCGTCTGAAAAGTATCAGAGGAACCCTGCAGTGTATTCAGACTAAGGGACTTGGTTTGGTAAACAAAGTTTGTTGTAATTGGCCGCTAGCTCTGACTTAAAGTTATATAATCGTATAAGAAAATTTCTACACTTTTGGCTCTACGGTGGAAAGTTGTACCTCAGCGAATGTTGGTTGTATCGCACACCTGCTCTACGAAAATAGTTTACGTGAAATTTTCTTGGGAAATGGCTGCACATGTTGTTGTCTGATTCCCGTGAGTCAGGGTAACGTCGAACGGGGATAGTGCTTAGAGGCTAGACATTTGCGTGAGCTTATCATTTGCTTATTTTAAAATATTCAAATCACGATATATTTAAATATATTCTACCATCACAGCAAGCTCTTTTGTCATATGGACTATGGTTTTTGTTAATTTTTATCTTATTTCGTAGTTCCTTGCTTATGTTAGTTCACAAATAAAATTCTATTTTCTACTTGTGTGAAACGGATTGATCGAAGATAAAACCAGGATTAGGACCTTGTTTCCATTGTTTCGACCAGAAAGTGCGAGGACAGCTAGAACAAACTTTACCTTGCAGAAGCCTATCAACTTTTAAATACCGGAGAATCGATTAACTGAGCCTCGCCACAGTATCCATCGAGTTTTGGGTCTTTTTGATGTGCTGTTGAACATCATCCATCTGAGGCAGAGCAACTCACCCGCTTCAATCTCCTAGGGAGAGGAGGAGGGTGTTCGTTTCGTAAACGCTCAAATGCATGTGCTTCACTATAAACCCTCTCGAAACTTGAATTTTTAGATTGGAAATGTTTTTTCACCTTCATACAGAATACGTAGTAGTAATGGCCGTAAAGGCTCTCTATCTTAGTCTTGTTGTCCTTAGTGTTGCCAACGCAATGTGCCTGCGTCCTTCTCAGTGATGTCAGCATTGTTACCTTCTCATAGATCGGCTATTGTTTTCAGGAAGATGACGTTCACAAGCGCGTGCGGTTAAATGTTGACTATCCCTGTAAAACTAGGGATTAATGATAAATCCATTACTTGAAACCAAAAAAGTCAAGAACCCAAGGGGTACTCAACACTTCATACTGTGCTGAAATACAGCATGGCACACTATTCGGCACACTAGGGCACTCGTTGACAAGTAGGACACAAACAATATTATGTAAAACGGCGTCACTGTCGAGTATTGACGTTTTTCCAATCGTTGCTAAGGTTGACTAGTTTGTTTACTCCATTGGGCTTCACAATGGGATCGAAAAATTCCAAGGAAAAATCTGTAAGTATTTTCTACACCATGAATCTGGTCAAAACTAACTAATCTCATCCGATTCGTAGCGAAACTCGCAGCGGCTAGCTTCTATTCAGGCCTCACACCTACAGAGTTTTTCCACATTAGACGTCACGGCTGAAATAGGTAACCTCCACCGAAGGTTGGACAAATGACTGGAAGATGTGGTCATCCAATACGCCGTACGGAATGCGAACTGTATTAACGAAAATCCTTTGAACGATGACAAAATTGTTGCGATTTGTTTTACAAATTTGTTATGCAGAATAAACAATAAAGAAAAAAAAGCTGAGCATAGGGGTTGGGGGAGGTGTCGTGCAAGTTCAAATCCCGGTCTTGCCAAGGGTCTTCCGCGATGGAAATTTTCTCGATTTCCCCTGCGTTGTTCCTCATTTATTCTTGGATATGGACTTTGATGGGAAATCACAGGATTTTATAACGATGTCCATAGTCTCTGTACTGCCTGCACAGCTGGGGACTGTCGATACGCATCCTCAAATATTCCATCAGATTTGAACTTATGTACGGTTGCCTTAACGTAATAGTATAGGAATTATAGGAACAGATCAATGCAATTACATTCCGTGAGTCCGACATAAATAACATATCCATCATCAACGATCTGGTCATTTTGCAGATGAATCTCTATAAACATCCTTGTGTTGAACTAGTTTGCATCACGAATCCCCGATGTGATGGGTGGCCTACCGATCAGTTCTTGTAAGACCAGTAAGGCTTTGCTCAATCTCTAAAATTTGATTCGTGGTAGAGGGGGTTTCGATGGGGTCAACGGTTCTCGCATGACGACACTAAGCAACTTGTTCGGCTAGAGCCCATGGGCATGTTGATGAACAACAGCAACCACAGGATCCAGCCTGCAGCAGAACTACAAATGCGAAGCTTGTTTGGATCACAAACCATTTCCGAAGTATGACTGATCTGAAGTGGGGGATATTTGATGGTTTTCATCGGTGGTCTATTGGCCATTGGTTTTCAATGGTAGTACATTGCGGAAGGCACCACAACTACATAAGATTTTGAACTTGGTAGCCTTGAACGTGTGTAATTGGGTGGTGGCAAGATACATCATAATCAGCGACACGATAAGCTTGGGTGATGTCTTCGAGGTCACGTACTTCTGAGTCGATCAGATGAACTGGTTCGAGGATGTTGTTTGTGGGATTGAACATTCACCCGTTCGAGTTCTGGTTTTGATTTTGTCGGGGAGCTTTTAACAGGTAGCTGGAGGAAATTTTGCCACCATTAATCAGGTTACACATTCGTTTCTGCACACGTATCTTTTGGAGGAGTCGAATTTGCTTGAACACCGTATAGTTTGGATGGCTTCCAGTTTCTCTCCCACTGCCCGCTCCGTTCACGTTCAAATGAAAATGAAACATAATGTTTGCCATAAATCATCAAAGAAATTCAAAATGTAAACACAATCACAAAAGTCAGTATAACTTCAGGGTTACCAAACGTATAGGTCATTAACACCTTGATTGGTACACTTCAGCCTACTTTGACACGTTTGGCGCAGCGCTTGGCACAACTATCGGCACTGTGAAATCTCATGGCACAGAATCGGGTGTGCAGAGTTAAATACCCTTTGCAAGAACCACATTATTGTTAAAACATTATTCCAATCAAATACGAGACCAAATACCAAACGGATATATATTAGATCTCGCTTCTATTTTCTTTTGATTGCACTTGACTTAGCTCAATCAGTTATCAACGTATGAATATCTGGCTTACTATGATAATATGTCCTTAGCGTGAATATATTAAAATATTGTAAATAAAGGGTGATACGATGAAAATTTGGTCCACTTAAACATTTTTTTTCCTTGATTTGTTACCCGTCGATCTTGTTTTCCGTGCTGAGCACCAATGCTACCGACGCCAGGGAGGCAGCTCCCATACTTTAAACCTACCTATTGACTCATCAACTCACCAACTCACACGGGAACCAACGGCTTTACTTCCCATCCGAAGGAAGGCGTGATCAAAGATGTTATGCCTCAGAACACCCCGGCGGCGCCGACTGGGATTGAACCCAGGCTTGCTGGGGTGAGAGGTAATCACGCTTACCACTACACCACGCCGGAGATGAACCAGCGTCTGGCTGAAAATCTCCTTAATAAAGACAACCAACCAACCAACCACTACACCACCGGCGCCGCTTGTAATATTTTAAAGTCAATGTTGTATGTATCCATCATTTGGTTCACGGGTCCAAATTTAGCATCATTCGGACGATGGTGATTTGTAGCAAATATATATCTGTTTCGCAAATGCCTAGTTGGTGTACATAAATTTAATTTTGACAATAGTTCAATTGAATCAATGCGATGCGATAAGATATCGTTTACAAATGATACCCTATCAAATTCACGATGCTCTTTTAATGTTTGAATATTTATGAGCATACATCGAGCTGTGTATGATGGCAAAAGAAATACAGTCCAACCTAACTTGCGGACTACATACAATAGAAACTGCTCTATTCTTTCATCGCGTGTGATTGACAAAGGAGACCAAGCTATGCTACTGTACCGTGCCGATTCAAATTTCGGACACTTAAACTCGAATTTCGGACACTTTTAAAAGTTGATTATCTCGGTCGAATATGATCCACATGTCTTGTAAATTTTAAATTTTTTTGACTAGTGCCCTCCACGATCATCTAACATTATTACTTTGTTTCTAACTGGATGTAATATTTAATTAAAAATGAAAGTGTCCGAAATTTGAATCGTCCGAAATTTGAATCGGAACGGTATTTATTCGGTGAAAGTAAGCTTTGAGTTTAAAATAACGGCCCTCATAACGAGTGTCACTGCACGGTGAAGTGATTGCCGTTTAAATCAAATGGGAATCACTTCACCGTGAGTGACAAGTTGTCACTTCACCGTGAAGTGACATCGGTAATAAGGGCCAACGCCTAGGTCCGTGACGCTATCACACTTTTCTACGTTCTTAAATATTTCTTAAAGAAATTGTTCGCTTTCTATCAAAGAACCACGAACTCAATTGAAACAAAGCTATTTATCTCCAATTTCGAAAGTCCGTCCGAATACGCGTCCTGAAGACGACCCAAATTCTCCAACTGTGCGACCAAAAAACATTATGGCATTCTCCCGAACCTTGGCGATCGGCTGATAGACCGCGAAGGCAATGCGTCAACTGAAAAGAGTTGCACAGGGAACGTGAAGCTAAACGCACCGAGGAAGTCCGCATAGCAGCTGAAAAGGGACTCAACAGGAAATCAAACTAGTGGATTATGTTCCACGACGAGATGGGAAAGTGGCCTCCCAGCACCA